AAATGAGGAGCTGATACCAAGGGCTCAAGTAGGAAGAAAATGTTTTGAGAATGATGATGACAACAAATGTACAAGTGTGCTTGACACAATGGATGTAAGTATGGATTGTGATAAGAGTTGTACGAGCCCCCAATAAAATGATGTATATAAAAAAAGAAAGAAAATAGAATAAAGTAAGAATATTAATAAGAAAAAAATCTCTAGTTGCAGGAGAGAGGCTGTCTGCTCCCGTAACGATTTACAGACTGGGGAACTCAGAGGGGGGTCCCTGTGTGTGGAAATCAACTTGAGGACAGTGAGTTTGGTTTTCAGACATCTCGAGTTGCTTCTCTGTGCATTTCCAAATTTTTTGTTTTTGTTGCCCATGTAATATTTTTGGGGGGTGTTTTTAAAAATTAAATGATCATTTAATTGGGGCCCTTACAACTCATAACAATCCAGACATCAATTGTATCAAGCATATTTGTACATATGTTGCCATCATTCTTTTCTAGACATTTACTTTCTATTGAGCCCTTGATATCTGCAACTCCCTCCACCCCTCATGAACCCCTGATAAATGATAATTGTTTTCCTATCTTACACTAACCGCTGTCTCCCGTCTCCCATGGTTTCTGTTCGTCTCCCTGGAGTGTGTGTATGTGGTTATGTGTTGATCATTACGATCATCTCCCCCTTCCTCCCTCTCTGGTATCACTACTCCCATTCCCGTTCCTGGATTCCAGGTGTCGTGAGCTCTTATCTCTTATCTGTACCTGTGCACACGCTCCAGTCTAGTCCGAAGTAAGAGGCAACACTGGGTCATGAGAGTGGGGGTGAGATTTTAAACAATTATTATTGTTAGGGTTGTTTTTGGTTTGGTTTGTTTTTTTAATGATCTGGTCTCTGTATTGTGGTGTTTACATTTTGACCACAAGATGGCTAGGTGCTTGCGCTTCAAATAGTTGCAGGTCGAGGTGCCCCTGATTGGAAAGGACTGATGTGCAGCCACATGCCGAAAGCATCCCGCTCCCTTGGAGCCCCGCACCCACCTTAAGTAGTGGCTTTGCTGCTCCTTAAGGAGCTCATCAAAGAAGTTCCATTCGTTCCAGTGAAGCCAGTTCAGCCTGGCAAGGTTGTCCTTTCGCTTCTTTATGTTCTTCCGGGCCTGGGCAATGACGTCAGCATACGTCGGGGTGAGATCCGTGGACCTCACAGTCAAGGGAAAACTCCCTCTTTCTGATGGTGCCGCCCCTGTGCATTATTGGCAGAAGGTGCTGGGGTCCTAAGGGCGTGAGAGGAGGGCTAGGGCATCGGGAATTGACCCGGGCTTCTGGGGGAATGATGGATATCTGAGCGGGCAATGACCTCTGCTCGTGGACCACAAAGCCCTTCTCTACTGCAGCAGCCCTGCTGCTAGGGGAGGGCTGCGGCTGCTGTTGGGGCCTGTGGAGTCTGCTTTGACTTAGAGCGCCCCATCTCCCAAAGGAGAACTGCCCCACAGCTTTCCTAGGTGGGTCACCTTGACCAGAGCAGGCCGGCAGGTCTTTCTGGCACCAAGTGGCTGGCTGGATTCGAACTACCAACTTTCCCATTAGCAACCACGGACTTAACAGTATCTGCAGCCGTGCTCCTTGGGGGAAAGGGCTTGGCAATACGTTTGACTGTCATCTGCATGCCTCTGTGACCACGGGGTGGATAGGAGGGCGCTGGGCCTTCTCCTTCTGGTTCAAGGCCTCTTGTATGTCAACAGAGTCTCCCTTACACCCCCCAACGCTCTCTGACTCAGCTAGAATCTCAGACTGGTCAGGAGTGTGGAACTCTGACAAGGCTGACATCATCCTTGTTGTCTTCCTGACGGCTTCCTCGTCTATAAATAGGGATGGGAACTCGGAGCTTACCTGGTGTTTTAAGGAGCCCTGGTGGCGTGGTGGTTAAAGCACTCGCTGCTAACCCCAAGGTTGGCAGGTGCACTCAATAGCTGTCCTATGGGAGAAAGCAGAGGCGTTCTGCTTCCATGAAGACGGACAGTCTTACGCTGTACTACACAGTCATTCTGAGTCGGAATCAACCTGATGGCAGTAGATCGGGTTTGAGTTTGGAGTATAATGTTACTAAAACTGATTAAAAACTTTGTACCAAACGCAAAAAGCCATCCAGTCAATGCCGACTCACAGGGACCCTATAGGACAGGGTAGAGCTGCCCCCGTGGGTTTCGGAGACTGTCACTCTTTACGGGTGTCTTTACGGGTGTGTTACCCTCAGAGCAGCAGGTGGGTTTGAACCTCTCGCCCTGTGGTAAACAGCCCAACACAGAACAATGACACCACCAGGGCTCCTAGTTATACCAGCTGTGTTAAATTCAGTACCTGCTGGCACATGCTTTAGAACCCCTAAGTTCTCGTCACCGCCCTGAGTTTCACATAACGATGCTTACTTTGGAAAACCCCTTCACACTGCAGCTGAGGCTGAGTCGACTCGGACCACCAGATAGAACTTAGCGGCCCTAGGGTTTCCCAAACTGTACTTCACAACAGTGCTTCGGAGTGTGGGCAGGATGCCGAGTCCGAACCGCTGGCCTCATGGCTAGCGATCTGATGCTTGACACACTGTGCCACCAGGACTCCATCCTTCCTTTCAGGGCGAGTCGATACAGCTAGGGAGCCCTGGTTAACCCATGTGCACCAGGTCACGTGGCTAGAAGGTTGCTGACTGGGGATTGAAACCCAGCACCGTCTATGCCCCACCAGGCGTCGTTCATGACACACAGTCTGAGAAAACAGAGGCGGTTGAGGCGCCGTAAGGTGCTAAGAAATGTCCAAGCCTCGCCTCCTGCCATCCAGTCAAGGGCAACTCATAGTGACCCCATAGACAGGGCAGAACTGTCCCCTGGGAGTTCCCAAGACTGGGACTCTTTCCGGGAGTAGAAAGCCCCATCTTTCTCCAGCAGAGCGGCTGGTGGTTTTCAGCCGCCGACCTTGCACTTAGCCGCCCAGTGCATAACCCCTGCCCCACAAGCAAGGGTTCTTGTAAGAAATGTCAGCCGTTAGTATTCTCTGGTTATAAACCTATTTAAAGCTTGTGGGGATAAAGCTCTGTAGGGCAGGAGAAACAAAGTCCCGCCACATCACCTGGGATGCCCCTCCTGAAGGGGAACTAACTAGAACTCAACTCAGTATCTGCCAGGCCTTGGCCTCTGTGGTCTCTGTGACCTGCATAGCAGCCCCAAGAGGAGGGTCCTCTTATTCCCATATCCAGATGGAAAAAAAAGAAAAAAGAGAGAGACCTAGAGAGAAGATGAAATGTACCTAAGAGCGCTCGGCTGGCAAGCGGTTCCCAAATCCAGGTCTGTCTGATTCCAAACCCAGGTTGTCACCTCCCCTGGTCACCTGCCTCTGTCCTAAGGTTCCCTTGATTGTGTCCCAAGACTCCAGACACTCACACATGTCACACTTGTTTTCTTAAGACCTGAGCTTCTTTTTTTTCCCCTTCTAAATGCTCAGCATAAATGCCATAGGGGCCAGGCATTTGTTGATAGGAAAGAAGGAAGGGTATGGAGTACAGTGGTTAAATGTTCAGTTGCTAACCCAAAGGTCAGAAGTTCGAACCCATGGGTGGCTACACAGGAAAAGGATCTGGAATTCTGGTACCATAGAAATGACAGTCTATATGGTTACTGAGCATCTTGATCAAAGGTTCTACAGAAGAATCCTAGTCAAAAGGGGTGTGATGCAGAACAGAGTGTAACATTCTCTCAGAATCCAGACTTTTTGGAGCCATGCAGACTGGATGAACCCTGAAGCTATTGTCCTGAAATCCTCTCTAAGCCTGAAACTAAAAGCATTCCCTGAAGTCTTCTTAAGACCCAAAGTAACCTCCCTTGCCCAGTAAGAACAGTCTCCCTTAGCATTATGCACTTTGAAGAACTATCTGTAGGATCAAATTGACAAGAGCAATTCTGAAAGGTTAGATAGGAACGCTAGGGATCCGCGAGGGAGGGGCAGCTCAGAAAAGGAGACAAAAACGTCTGCATAGCTCAAAGGATGTAACCACTGCCACTGATCTGTACACTGAGAAATGGTTGCATTTTTGTTTAATTTGTCGTGGAAGGCCTCTGGCGGCTTTTCTACTCCGTCCCAGAAAGTGTTGTGAGTCAGAGTGGACTCAAACTGCACGCACAGTAACACCCAGGAGTGTAAGCAGGCAGATGACGTCACATGAGATACAGACACCAGAGTTTCCTGATAAACACACTCTGGGGTCATTTGGAGCCTCCAGGAAGCTTTGTTTAGTTTCAAAGGATGCTAGAGCGTATCTAGCCCATTCATTCAAGGGATGGGAGAAAAAAACGTTGAGTTTGCTTGCACTAGGGAAATTTGATTGGCCCGGGGTCCCCCAGCCAGTTAATAAGGTAGATTTTGATGTAAAAGGAGCAAGATTTTTACCTTATTGGTGGTCACCTGTGGCAGTTACATAATCTGGTGTCAATTTGAGACTATTAAGAGTGAAGGGGTGGAGTTTAGCCTGTCAATCAGGTAGCAGCTTGACGACCTCATTCAGAGGCACTACAGAGATAAATAGCTCACTGGAGGCCAGACCCACCCATTCTTTGCTTTGCCTCTACTTTCCTATTGACAAGCCACATGGAGCTACACTGATGGACCTAGAGCTGTGGAGCTGGAGTAGCCACGTGGAGACCCACGCCAGCACCGAGATGCTTCTGCCACTGGATCCACAAGACTTTCCACCCACTGGCCTGTGATCTTCTTGTATTCAGTGTCATTGCATGAGTTGTGAGAGTCTGAAGAGGAATTTATAAACTGGTATTGGACATATGGGCTAATATCAGACTTATGGACTTGATCTGGACTGGGCTGGGAGGTTTTCTTAATGTACAATTACTCTTTGATCCAAAGCTCTTCTTATACACTTATGAGTGTCTATGAATTTGTTTTTCTAGTCGACCCAGGCTAACACACCACCCTTGTGGGACACCCACTATGTGCCAGGTGCTATATTGAGGGCTGAATCCCTCTTCCTGGTCCTGTTTCTGGGGAGGGGAGGCAGAGCCCTGGAGGAGCATGGGCCCTGCTCACAGGTGGCAAGGATATGGGATGCTCCTGGTCTTCTCCCGCCTGACTACCAGCACATCCTTGCCGTGGTGCTGCAGAATGGCGTAGTTATGGAGGAAGTACACAATCAAGGGGCTCTTCCCATAAATGTTGAAGTAGTTCTCAACCACCTCGGGGCTCTTGCAGGCTGGGTGAGACTGGGGAGGGAGGGAATAAACCAGAGGAAATAAATCAAGGAGGTTGCCATTTTTAATAGTAAGTACAAGGGAGCTTCAAAATGTTCGTGGGAAATAGGATAAGCAGATAGTGGAATTTTTAAAAACAGTTTTATTGGCACTCCATCCACATGTGATACAATTCAATAATTCAGTCCTATCAAGAAGAGTTGTACAGTCATCACCACAATCAATTCTAGAACATTTTCTTCTTCCCTGTACTCCTTGTTATTCATGTAATACTTTCTATAATTCATGTACTTATTTTCTATAATTGTGGCAAAAATATACACAAAACATTCTCCAATTCAACATCTTCTAATGTATAATTCAGTGCCATTGATTATACTCTTCATGTTGTACAACTGTCATTGATAGCAGATAATGGCTGTTTGGAAGCTCCCTAGTCAAGAAACAAGACACTCTTAACCAGTGATCTCGTAACTCCAGTTTTAGGATGCTATCTTATGAAGATGGCTTAAAATAAAGGTGCTAAGATGTTTACTCCAGAGAAAATTTACTTTAACAGAAGGTTACAGAGATCTAAATGCCCAAGGAGCTCAAACCAACCATATGTCTACTCATAGCAATTAGGCAGCTCTTGCCTGATGTGCACGGAGAACTGACAACTTAAAAAAATATTTCAGATAAAACAGAAAAATTTAAAAATCAAGATAGGAAAATCCTTTCCCACTCCATGTGTTCTCTTTTTGCTCTGTTGATGCACATAAATGTTGTATTTTTAGTAGGTCCCAATCATCTATTTTGTCCTCTACTACATGCATTTCCTTCATTATATTTGTTAGTCTGTCTATGCACTGCAATAGGGCTATAAATGTGTCCCGATTTTCTCACTGGTGATCTTTATAGCTCTGATGTTTTACATTTAAGTCTTTGATCCATCTTGAGTCCTTTTTTTTTTTTTAACATGGGGTTAAGTATAGGTCCTGTTTCATTCTTCTACAGAGGGACATCCAATTTTGCCAGCACCATTTGTCTAAGAGACTATCTATTTCCCATTTCATGTTCTCTGGCCCTTTGTCAAAGATCGGTTGCCTGTAGGCTGCTGAACTTACATCTAGGTTTTCTATTTTGTTCTATGTCTGGGTCTCTGTATCTCGTGTTGTACCAGTACCTGTCTGTCTTAATTACTGTGTAATAGTAATTTGTAATAGTAATAGTTTGAAGTCAATAAGTGGTAGGCCTCCTTCTGTGTTCTTCTTGAGAAGTTCTTATCTTGGTTTCTTTGCTCTCCATACGAAGCACAATGATATTTTTACAAGAGTAAGTCTCCCTATCCATGAATATGGAATATCCTTCCATTTGCATAGCACCTTCCATGCTATGGCTGGGTTTCATGCCCTATGAACCTAGAGTGGTGCTCAGTAGTCCACTTCCTTTCTCTCTATCTACAGAGCAAATCTCCCAGCCCTTTCAGCATTAAGGACCATCCACTTCTGGGCTTCAGTTTCCCCATTTTATAGTAGAAAGTCAGAAAAGTCAAACGACTTGCTCAAGAAAGATGGCTTGTGAGAGGTAAAATCAAAACTTGAACCCATGTCAGTCTGCCTTTCCCACCATGCCTCACTCCTTCTCAAACCCTGCACTGCTAAACATGGCGAGGAAGCAAGTGTGGCTCGACTTGTGCACTCGACTGCTGACCTCAAGGCTGGCCGTACCAGTCCACCCAGTTGTACCACCGATTTTGTAAAGATCACAATCAAGAAATCTCTACTGAGCAGTTCTACTTGGTAACACATAGGCCACCACGAGTCAGAATAGACACCTTAGTAATTAACAACAACAATAAAGGAGGAGAAGTATAAAAGATTGAAGAAATCTTCTACAATCCTCACTGTACTTGACCCAAATCCTATGGCCTGTCTTGCTACAGCTGGATGTATAGGGTTTAGTAAAACACTTGACATGTAGTAAGCACCCATTAAACATTATTCATTATCACTATCTCTTACAAAATGTTGAATTATTGTTCCCATTTTATAGAATATGAAAGTGAGGCCCAGAGGGATGGAGCAACTTGAGCAACAGAAAATGGTATTTCTCTCTCTCTCTCCATTACACCCAGGCTTTTGTATTTCAAGCAGGTAATTGAAACTCCTGAAGACATTCAAACAAAATGCTCTCTTACCTTGTACCTACCTTGGGCAGGGGTGGGGTGAGGAGTGGGTGACTCAGGGTATTTCTGATTCAGTTTGCATCTACTACCCCAATTCATACCCTGGCATTTTCACAGAGCTAGCTAGCTTTTCTAGCCCCGCCCCCTGCCCCCTTTGAAATCATCTCTACTATTAAGTTGCCAACGATGCCTCACCTGTTTGTGTAACAGAATCTCATGTGGTCTTACTCCCTTGGATTGACTTGTAACTCTTTTCATCATTAGTGCTTCATAGGGCTGCTCTGCCAATAGAACATTAGCAAACAGCTATTAATTAAAAGATCATTGGGGCTTTCCTATGGTCCCCATAGGACCTTGGGGATCGTGTGGTGGAAAATCAGTTCTTCTCATTACAAAATGTTCAGCTCATTAAGAGAGGCTAGAGGAAATGGTAGAATCCATACTCTATCTTTTGCATGTGATATATACCTTGAATATCATTTGCATAACCAGATACACACCTCAGGCCACACATTTGCCAGTGGACTTATCTGTCTGTCCACCCGTCTATCCATCCACCCATCCACCACCATTGACTTAACATCTACCACTTCCACGGATAGCAGAGACTACCTACCTCCAGGGCACGCACAGGTGAGTGAGAGAGAACGACACATAATAGTAAGTGTGACATTTACAGTATACAGTATACATTACAGGATACAGTAAAGACAGGAAATGTTGGGGGCAGGAGGTGTGTGTTAGTGGAGGAGGCACGATTGCAAAAGGAAGGTTAGGCAGCTAGAGAATGTCCACGTGTCACTGAACGATACAAGTGGAAACTGGTGACGTGGTGAATGTTTGCTGTGCGCATTCTCAACAACAATCACCACTAAAATAAATGATTAAAATGGTGGGGCGGGGGGAGGCATTTTCAAAAATGTAAGAACAAAGGGGCTTCTGACATTTTATGACGCTTCTAAGTCTCCGGGCCTTGGGGTCATGAGGAGAAGATGTCGAGAAAAGGGTGTTCTGTGTTGAACCCATTGCCACAAAAGGAGAACTTACTTCATCGATGCTGACTGAGCTGAGAGGACAATGACCACACCTGATCCCTTCATCCCAAGGCCCAGATTAGAAGCACAGGTAGAAACTAGCATGGGGATTGGATGTTCTGGTCACCCCGGAGACCAAAGCTGGTGAGGCAACATGCACATCAGAAGCCCACGTGTCCCGTTCCGGGAGTCACCTGGGAGTACCTTTTAGAGTGTTCGGTATGGCTGTGCTTCCTTCTGGTTGACGTGGATCCTTCTTCGAGGAAATGGCCATGGCACTCATATTAAACTCAAGGGGAGAAAAACAGAAGTCAGTAAGCCTATTAGTGAGAGAGTGAGAGGAATAAAAAAAAAAGTACACAATGTCTTAGGTTCTCCCTGCTCCTGGCAAAGGTACACGCAGAAAATGACTGTCCAGGGGGAGCTTGGTAGCGCCCCCTTCATCTGGGACCACAGCAGAGAGGAGGGGCCCCGGGTGGAAAAGACCAGGGTCAGACTCTGGCAGGCTGGGGTTGAAGTTCCAGGTTGGTCCCTGTGAGGATGGGTGGCAAGTCGCTGAACCTCTTCCCTGCCTGGTGAGGCTGAAGTCAGCTCATGCGTGAGAAGCACAGAGAAGGGGCACTGCTCCTGTCACGGGAAGTCCTCCGGGAATGTGATGGGCAGCGTGCATGCAATTGCTCACCAGGCCTCCTTCGGTAAACACTTCCTTGAGCCACTATGAATGCACCGAAGAGGGCCCTAAGGACCAGTCCCTGCCCTGTGGAGCTTCCAATCCAGCAGGGGAGATCACCGTACACTGACTGTAGTCGCCATCAAGTGGATTCTGAATCCTGGCCACCCCACATGGGTGGCGTGGAACCGCTCGATGGTGTCTGGGGGGCAGATCACCAGGGATGTCTGCCAGGCATCACTCGGTTCCAACTGCCGACCCTCGGCTAGCAGTCAGGCCGTTGGCCACTTGCGCCACCCAGGGACTATCATAGTAATTGTGGAAAGCATCCCGTATTACTAGTCTGTTGTTACCTTCTCTGCATTAGGAGTAAGTTTGATGTAACAGACTCGACATTGGCTCAGAGTAGGTAGACATTTCTCTCCTACCAAACAACCTAAAGTTAGGCGGTCCAGGTTCATCACCTGGGCTCCACTCATCACACTCATGGTCCCGGCAGCAGAATGGAAGAAAGGACAAAGAAACGAAGGGCTCCCACTAGCTATCTTTGAAGGAAGGTTCCCAGAAACGGCCGTGTGACACATGCACGGGACATTGGTTCCATGGGCAGGCACAGATGCTAGGAAGTGCCAGCTGTGCCCTGGTCAGGTGAGTGCCTCGCTAAAAATCATAGGCGTACTCAGTTTCATATCTTATCATCTTAGGTGAAAGTTTACGCAGCCAGTGAGATTCCCACTGGGCAATTTCTATACAAATTCTTCCATGACATTGGTTATAATTTCTGCAATGCCTCTGTGTTCTTTTTATTTCCATTTTGCTTCTTCTATTTTCATTGGGTAAACCTGCTGCACAAGACCCCTTTAAAGTGTTGAAAAGCAAGGATTGTTACTTTGGGGGCTAAGATGCGCCTGACCCAAGCCATGGCATTTTCAGTTGGACTGATTACGGAAGACTGGAGAAGAGTTGATGTGTTTGAATTATGGCGTTGGCAAACAATATGGAAGGCACCACGGATTGCCAAAAGAACAAACAAATCGGTGCTGCAAGAACTCTAGCCAGAATGCGATTGTGAGGCAAGGACGGCGAGACTGTATCTCACATACTGTGGACGTGCTGTCAGGAGAGACCAGTCCCTGGAGAAGGACATCCTGCTGGGTAAAGTGGAGGGGCAGCGAGAGAGAAGCCAGCCTTAGACGGGCCGATTGACAGCATGGCTGTAACAATGGGCTCACGCCTGGGAACAGCAGTGAGGATGGCGCAGGGCGGGGCAGGGTTCTTGCTGATGTACACAGGGTCACGATGAGTCGGAACCAAGGGCACCCCACAACAATTTCCATGGACCCAGCTCCACTCCCGCCCCCCTTTGTCATCTCGTGCTTGTGGGTAAACGTTGGCCATCTGATCTCATAAGTTGAATTGAGGGGGTACGTTGCTATGGGTCTTACTGCTCATTTTATGACTCAACCTACCATGATTTGGCTGAAAGGTGACCTCTAGGAAGGGCTTCCGTTCCGAGTTAAAAGTTTATGTTAGGTCAATAGTCTCACGAGTTCTTCTAGTCTCCAGGCTAAGCCATTAACTCTGGTCTTTTTTAGGAATTTGAACTTGGTCTACAATTTTCTTTCATTCTATTCATGACTTTCTATGGTGTCTCTGCTCAGAACAGTGTGGAGCGGGAGCCCGGCACCACTAGTTCTGGTCTCAGACCAGTCACTGTGATTCATGCGGACAATCAGGCCTATAGACTACTTTCTTCTTTGCGTCCTTGGCTTCCTTCATTCTCTTTGGCTCCAGGTGGGCACAGACCAGCAGCTGAATCTTCTGTGGTTGCTCACAAGCTTTTCAGACCCCAGCTGCAACTCACCAAACTAGTGTAGAACATTACCTATCTGTGCTGTTATGCCAGTTGACTGAGCTGCCCCATGAGAATATGGTCCCAAGCCCTTTAACCCTGTACACCGATCTTGTGAGGTGTTTGGATATGTCTTGGAGGTCTCCTTAATGATGCCCCCTATGTGCTTTATTGTATATGTGAATATATATGTGGCACACCCAAACACATATTTATGTCTATAAATATACATATGTATATATAACTCACTATCACCGAGTTGATTCCAACTGATAGTGACCCTATTAGAAGTGTCCTCATAGGCACCCAAACTATCCAGGAGTAGAGAGTCCAGTCTTTCTCTCTTGGAGCAGCTGGTGGTGTTGAACTACATACCTTGCAGTCAGCAGCTCAATGCATAACCACTAAACCACCAGGGCACCTAAATGTCCCTGTATCTGCAAGTACATGCACTCACATATTTCTTCCTGAATGTTACAGCCTTGGAAATCCTGTGGGGAAAGTTTACTTTGCCCTACAGCAGCGGTTCTCAACCTGTGGGTCACGACCCCTTTGGGGGTGGAACGACCCTTTCACAGGGGTCGCCTAAACCATCAGAATATATATATATATATATATATATATATATCATTTTATTGGGGGCTTGTACAATTATCATAATCCATTGTGTCAAACACATTTGTATATTTGTTGCCATCATCATTCTCAAAACATTTTTCCCCTCCCTCATGAACCTTTGATCATTTATAAATTATTATTATTTTGTCATATCTTTCACTGTCCGATGTCTCCCTTCACCCACTTTACTGTTGTCCATCCCCCAGGGAGGGGTCTTATATGTAGATCCTTGTCTTCGGTTCCCCCTTTCACAATATATAATTACATATTGTTTTGTGATTCATCACTATGCTTTGATCCTGTTTAATTATGTTCAATTTGTAACAATGAAAATACACCCTACATATCAGATATTTACATTGCGATTCATCACAGTAGCAAAATGACAGTGATGAAGTAGCAACAAAAGTAATGTTCTGGTTGGGGGTCACCAACACAAGAGGAACGGTATGAAAGGACCGCGGGGTGAGGAAGGTGGAGAACCGCTGCCCTACAGGGTCACTGGGAGCAGAGATGGACTCAACAGCACGGAGGTTGACTTGGGCCTGGATACACCTGTAGTGCACACACCTACCTGCGTAACCTTACACACTCTTCGGTTTGTTATTACTGGGGTTGCAGAGCTGCCTAGCTTACAGTGTGCACCATAATTGTCCTGTGTGCCGGCAGACCTCTCAGTGTCTTGATTTACTTTGGCTAAGTTGTGCTCGCTGCCCCCTCCTGCCCACTGCCTTTCCATTCACCATAAATAACAAGTGGTCATCAAAGAATGTTTCTTTCTACTTGTATCATTATTCTTTTAAAATATATCTATGTAACTTTTTATTTGACTTTGGGGATGGTTTACAGAACAGCTGGCGATTCTGTATTCTGCAAATAATACACATTCGGATCCAACACATCCATTGCAGCCTCTCCATGCCCCCTGCTTCTCTCACAGGCTCTCCACTGCCTGTGCCCATTCCTCCTCTTTCCTACGCCTCTGCACTTTGTCTTTAGGAAAATGCTTCCCTGGTGCCATAGTCGTTCTGCACAGGGCCGCTAAGCAAAAGGCCAGTGGGTGGAAACCCCCAGCCGCTCCAAGGGAGAAAGATGAGACTGTAAGTTCCAGAAATTGGCAGAGGCAGCTTTACCCTGTCCTGTAAGGTCACTGTGAGTCGGAATGGATTCAGTGGCAGTGAAGTTGTTGAGAGATTGTAAGTGGTTAATGAATTGCATGCAAAGGTGAGTTGAGTTCCATTCCAGACCTGAAGCGGAAGGGCCATAATCTTGCGGGGAGGGGGGTCCCACCAGCCTCTATCCAACCACAGATACTTGTCCTTGACATAGTTGCTCTTTGTATTGATGAAGGGGGAAATAGATAGTAAGGAGCAGCTGATGCTCGGCCACTAGCAGTTCTCCTCTGCCCTGTGGGGCTGTGATGAGTCTAAAGTCCACTTGGTGGCCCCCGGTAGCAGGCGCAGACACAGCAATGGTGGCATCAGAGCATCATGGGGAGCCAGAGAGGAGAATGCTCGAGTCTGCCCTGGGGAAAGCTGGAGAGCTTCCAAGGAGAGAAGACGCTTTGGTTCTGTCTTTAAGCATGAGTAGGAGTTTGGGGATACTAGACAGATGGCCCCGAGTGACAGACAAGCAGCCCACCAGGCTCAACAACTGCTTCACTCGTGTAGAAGTGTGATATCTGAACAGACAGGAGAGCGCAAGACAGACTTCCCATCCAGCCTACAGCTAGTATGTACTGATCTGTCAAGTGTGAGAAGGGATTTGTAAGAAGCAAACACTCCTGGGGCTCAATGGAGCCTCAATGCACCGTCAGAACAGGCCTCGGGGAGATCTGTAGTAGAGTGGAGAGTAAATGCATGGCGATTGGCTTAGGTTTACTAACAAGCCCTCCTGTTAGCTGGAGAGGCAGCGTGATGATGCAGAAAGAGCCTGGACTGACAGCTCAGAGCATTTCTGAGCTTGCGAGAAGGTCGTAAGGACTATACGTTGCCACCCAGTCAATTCTGGCTACGGCAGCCCTAGGGGTCAGAGCAGAATGGCACTACAGGGTTTCTAAGGCTGTAAACCTTCCCAGAGGCAGATGGTCAGATCTTTCTTCAACAGAGCAGACGCAGGCCTTGAATCTCCGATCTTTCAGTTAGCAGCTGAGGTGCCTTTGCAAGGACTAGGGAGGAGATATGCAAAGAAGACCAGCATGGCCTAGACATGGTGGGCCTTCCATCTGTCAAGAGCTGCAGTCTCAGAAAGTCACAGGGGTGGTCCTTCCCTGTCCTATAAGGTCAACTATGAGTCGGAATCAATTCAATGGCAGTGAGTTTGGTACCATTCATCTTATGACCAGCAACCACCCTTACGGGTGTGTAAGGAAAGGGTGACTATGGACCCCCTTGAAAGGCAGAAAGATTAGGGATAAAGGGGGTTGTCTCCACCAAATGCCTATGCTGAACAAAAATCAGCTGGCCATGCCACAAGGAAGGGGTTGCAAAGAAATCAGGCCCACATTAGACACCTCTGGGGATGATCCAAAGCTCGGCATGCGCAGACTAAGGTCACCTAGGCCCAAGTGGAGGTCAGCCTGGGCACACAACGCTAAGCACCAGCAACATGACATCACACATGCATCTGAACTCAGCCACTAAGATTGGGCCAATACCCTCCTCCATGTGCCCCACCCCCATAGCCAGTGGGGTTAGGAGGGGATAAGTAGCAGACTGACGGCAAGCCCCCCTCTCTCAGGTCACTCTCTTGCAGGTGGGGGGGGGGAACTCCCATGTGTGCAGTGCACACACGCACATGCCCTCTCAGTGTTAAGAAGCAAGAGCCGAGGTAAACCACCCCAGAAACCGAACACCCTGACCCACTACAGCACAGAGGAGAAGATGCCACTCCACCCATCCATTCACGCTGCTGCTCCACGCTGCCATGCGCCGAGTTCAAGAGGGTTTAGGGAAACACAGAAGAGGAAGCTAATTTTTTAGCACATCAGAGATATCACCTCTGTTTGAGCAATCGTGGGATGTCCAGAAATGCCTGGAAGGTAAATGAACTTTGCAGGTGTGCTATGAGCAGGTGTGGAAATTTGTTGGAAGAGCCCTGCCCGTTATAGTTAGTGACCCTTACTGTACCCATGTGCTGGAGTTTGGGAACATTTCTGGTTAGAGTGATTAGGCATGATGACAAGACACGACTGAACAGCCATTTATGGGATACACGTGATAAGAATTAATACCAACAGATAAGAGCACAAGGGCTCAAATACGCTCCTATCTAACCCACCTGATAGGTGGCCGCGCAGAGATGGAAAGGTAGGTCCCTGGCACCGAGGCTTGTGGCTCCTTCAGCCTGTGCTAATGGCTCCATGGTGGCCAGTCATTCTCCAATCTCCAATTTAAAGCCGGGGTAGCAATTACTCCTCTCTCTGTCCTGCAGCCCTCCGCCAGAGTCTAGGCTTGTGGACCTAACTAACGGCTTGCCTTCTGAATTTGCACATCTCACCAGCACCTGAAAGTTAACCAACTCAGAGCTGAACCCTTGAACCCTGAACCCGTCCCCCAAACTCTATGCTTTCTATCTCCATGAATGGTTCCATCCAGCTGCTGAAGCCACACATCTGGGACTCATCCCTGAGGCCTTCCTTTACGTCCACACTGCTCCTCCTCACTCCCAAAGCCCACCCACCGGCCAACATTGAAAGAGCCAGCTGCAGAATATGTTGTAGGCCCACCTACTTCTCACCACCTGCCAGCACTGCCTCTTAAGACCAAGCTTCCTAACTGGTCTTCTATGAGTCTCCAATACATCCAGGTGATCACGTCAGCTCTGTTTTATAGGATTCCCAGAGCACTTAAATTATATCCACACTTCTTTCTTACTAGGACCCTCACAACTCTGCAAGATCCCCTCCACCCCCACCCTGCCTCCTTCCCTGGCCTCAACTCCTGCTCTCTGGGACCCAGTATCACTGGCCTTCACTCTGTTCCCTGATTATGCCAGGGTCTCTCTCTCTCAATTTTTTTTTTTCCCTGACAGACGGCCTTTGCACGACGTTCCTTCATCCTAGAGCCTCTTTTATTCCGATGACTGACTCCTCATTCTTTTTCCTCTGCTCAAATGTCATCTTCGGGGATGAATAGCTATCCTTTGTGTGCCTTGCCTTGCTAGTATCGGTCAGCTCTTCCTTCCCTCCAGGAAAACACTGTCCTCTCCCCGCAGAGGGCTACTTGGGTGCAGAGACTCCGAGTAAACCTTGAGCACATCAGCAGGAATCTCCCTCAAGTGAGAATGTGCTCGCGTGCAATAATGCTTGTGAATTAAGAATCACAAAAGCATCTTGAGCCCGAGGCGCTCTGGAATAGCCCCTGCATTCAAATTCTCGTCAGCTTCCTCCGCTGGCATGCACATAAAAACCGGAGCGTGGAGAAAGAAGCTCAGGAGGTCCGCTCTCCGATGAGTCCCTCTCCTTTTGCCTCATGACTCAGTCTCATGGTGACTCAGCTACTCTGGTGTCTCGGGTAGCTCCCACCTCCTCACAGCATGAGACCCAGGCTTCCCAGTCGAAGGCTCAACTTGCTCTTCCAGCTTTACTTGTAATCGGGGTGAACACATGCAACCTCAAAGGTACAGACCTAGGCGCTGCACTTGCATGGGACTTTAAGGCAGACATGAGCTCTGTAAAAAGGGGGCGCCAAACAGACTCCGGTGTTTGGAGAAGCTCTTAATAGGAACAACTGGTTCTTCAAGAAGAGCAGGGTGGTGTTCTGAACATGCAGGCCCCCTGCCATTGGTACACAGTAGTGTCCCTTTGCCAGGGTACTGTGGTCTGGGCATCATCCGTGGCTAAGTCGCTTTGAAACAAAAGGACTGGCCCCTCCAGGGGACTATGCACCACTGTTATCTTTCGGTATGTTTCTTGGGACTGAAGTCAGCTAAAGTGTATTCTGCAGTTTGCAACTAAGAACCCTGAGGATGCACCCTCTTTATAGAAGAAATCTTGGACTTTGACGCCCATCTTTAGTGGGGGTCAAGACATGACTAAACAACCCAATTTAAATGACTAAAGAACCCAATCTGTAATATCTACGTCTCACAGCAGAAGCCTGATTAAACTATTAGATACTTTTTTTATGCTGACTGTACAAATCCCAAGCAACTAAGCAAGAGAAGGGCAGACAGATAGACAGTTCCATGTACTACAGGTGCCATTGAGAAAGCCCATCCCAAGACAGCTGAGTGTATCTGCTACCAATGATGCCCCCTCTGCCCCCCCACCCCACCACCACCCATGCCCTTCACAGACTCCTGTGCCTCCTTCTGTCCTGTTGGCCTATGAAAACCTCAGTCACGTTTCAGGTTCCATTGTTTAGGATCCTTTCTATTGGTGAGATACAAAAGGGGAATTACCAGGGCTGCTGAAATAGCTGTCAGAAGATTTTATGTATTTCAGCAGAAAGGAAACACATTTGTTCTAGGCAGTTGTGACAGGCAGTGAAAAAACATGGAATAATATTTTGATCTGCATCTCTGAGTGACAGCTCTCCCTCTGCCGTGACAGCTTTGCCAGTGCTTTGGGGAGGCTGAGATTTATAGCAGGAAAGATGTGCGTCTGGGCTGTAGCCTTTCATCCAATTGATTCCTTCTGTATGCAGAGCAAATAACCCAAGAAGCTGGGCCATATGAAGAAGGAGGCAGCATCGGGATGGGAGGCAGGGAGGCTCACTAACAACTGGCAATGTGCAGCTAACACAACTCTGCTTGCTGAAAGTGAAGAAGACTTAAAGCCCTTACTGATGATGGTCAGAGACCGCAGCCTTCAGCATGGATTACACCTCGACAGGGGAAGCCAGAATCCTCACCACTGGACCCATCAGCAGCATATGATACATGGAGAACAGATGGAAGTTGTCACGGATCTCATCTCGCTCGTGGAACCAGCAGCGGTCAGGAAATCAAAGGAAGGATTACCTCTCATAAACTGTTCACGAGCAAAGGTGTCATTTTGAGGACCGACGTACACCTGAGCCAGCCGTGGTATTTCCACTCTCCTAGTCGGCGTATGGAAGCTGGTTAATGAATAAAGAAGACCAAAGAGGAATTGGTGCAGTTGAAGTACGGTGTTGGCCAAGAATCCAGAATGGACCACAGGCAGTGGATCGCCAAGGTTGCCCGGCGGGTATTGCAGTCAGTGGTGTGAAAAAGAATATGTATAAGGGGTTGAAGGGAAAACGGGCCTGCTGTGCCAATCTTCACCCAATTCACCACAAAACATTTGAGGGAGAAATACGGGGTACTTCCATGTGCAGGAGCCCTGGTGGCATCGTGGTTACACGTCGGGCTGTGATCAGCAAGGTCCACGGCCAGGAACCATCTGCCGCTCCCCAGGAGAAAGACGGGCTTTCTATGTCTGTAAAGAGCTACAGGCTTGGAAGCTGCCAGCAGGCAGTTCCACCCCGTCCTGTGGGGTTGCTACGAGTTGGCATGGACTGATGGTAGTGAGTGTGGTTTTTGGCTTGCTCGGTGCTGGCTGGCTCTCTTCTAGAGGCTGCAGATCGAGCCCCGGAAAAGGAATACGATGCTA